TGATTCTGAGTGAGAGAGAGAGAGAGAGAGAGAGAGGAGTATTATTTCAATTTTCATTTTTTTTATTTCATTTTTCATTTTTCATTTTTCATTTTTCATTTATTTTTAATGTACAAAATGACAATTTTGCCCTCATATTTAACGGCAAATTGGATGAAATGTTCTAGATTTGGACAGCAGGGGGGAAATTGGCCAAAAAAAGAGTTTCATATCCTTAATTTTCTAAAAATAAAGGATAGGGGGTAAATCAAAAATTAGGTACAAGTTCAGGGGGAAAATCACCAATTAACCCTTCTTATATTCATGAAGTCTAGCCTTTACACCTCATTCCTATACCTCCACCAGCAACTTCCTTAAGATCCACAAGCTATTTTGAAATTAGTACCCAATATACACAAGGTTTAGAGCAACAAAAACTAAACATCATGCTTTCTATCATAAGGAGTGTGGAAGCAAATATTCGTACACCAATGACCAGACGTCATGTGGACTGAAAGACGTCCATACAAACGAAATTGCCGCTGGTTAAAGGTGGAAGAAAATGAGATGCATCTTGTCATGAATTAACTGAAGGCAGTAAGCATTATTGCCCACAAGCTGGCTTCCTCTACCATGGTAATTGGGAATGCGGGCTATGCTTTAAAAACTCATGTTTTAAAAAAAAATCATGATATTTGAGTTCATTTTTTTTAGTACGATGCCAAACATGTCCTTAAAGATCTTAGAGATTGTGAGCTTTTGGGTGTATTGGGGATTCTCTATTGAGAATTGTTGAAAGAAGTGAGATTACTCTAGAGTGAGTTTACATCTTTTCCCACATTAGATCGTGGACATCATCGCCAGTCGAAACATAGCCCAATTTGGAATGAAATGCATACCGTTTTTGTGTTTGTTTGTTTGTTTTTTTTTTTAGAGAAAAGGATTTCATTTACAAGCCAAAGAGACATACAAATACCGGTACAAAACAGTGGCCTTGTTAAAACCATCATAGAAAAACCACTTAGGACAAACTCCAGGGTAGGAAAGAGTACCACACATGCCATGGACTAATAAGAGAGTCCGACACATGCCAATTTGGACCACTACAAAGATCCCGAAAGAAAACAGACAAAACAAAGCACATCTCCAAGCCCTCCAAAAAACAACCTACCACAACGTAAGACTGTCAAAGAAAAACTCTTATGCACGCATAGTTCGATGTACAGAACGACGTGCTGTGAGCGACAAAACATAGCCAGCAGAAGTAGCAGTACCAACTTTATGAGTCGACAAAGAACCCAAAAGAAGATAGACAAAACAAAGCACAACTCCAAAACCCGCAAAAAACAACCCACCACAATATAAGACTATCAAACAAAAACTCATATGCAAGCATAATTCAATGTACAGAATGACGTACTATGAGCTATAGAACATAGCCAGCAGAAGTACAAATACCAACTCCATGAATCTTAATCTAGACCCCTAACCAACAAGGCATGGGGGATCAAGATTAGCCTCTTAGCATGACGAACTTCCAATGGAAGAGCATCATAGTAGGAATGTTTATCGAATGCCAAGCCTACAAACGTTCCAACAAACACATCAAGGAGAATTGGGAGACCCCTCAAGGTTGGTCTCCGTCACCATTTCAGCAAACTCGTTGATGCAAATTCTGTATCCCCCAGGAGAATTCGAGAGGTCATAGTGTTACCCGAAGGCTCTACCCCGAAGGCTCTAACACCATCCGAATGCCAGATCCCCACCACAAAAGAACTCGAAGAGATGGGAATAGAGATTGCCACTAACAGCCCTATCCACTAAAAATCATGCCCAACACCAAGGATCCTAGAGAGCACTAGACCCATTTAAGCCAAGAACTCGTAGAAGCCAACGACCATTAAACTCTCAGCCTGCACCACCGGCACCTTTTGCAACTGTCACACTAAGCTTCCATGAAGGCTGCAGACCCACACGGCCACACAACCATGCAAGAGCCGAGAACTACACGCCACATGCAACCGAGAGGGTAGAAACGGAGACGGAGCCACACAGAACAAGGAAGTTAGCGACACTAAGGCAGACGATACCCAACAACAGACCCCAGGCAATCGATCGAATGAAGTGACGACACTAGGGTAGATGGCCCTAGCCGTGAACAATAGTCCCAAGGACGACACTAAGGCAAAGCCCTAAATGCGAAGTCCAATCAAAGAATAACAATCCAACCTCGAATCAAATTCCACTAGACCAAAACGACGCACATAGAGGAGCAACCAACGGATAACTGAGGGAGAAAACGAGATCGAAGCCAACACAGAAGGTAATAGGGCGACGATTGGGGATGACGACGATAATCGCTAGCAAATCAAGGGAGCAACGACGGCTGAACGTGAGAGAAACCCTAAAAATGACGCACGGCTCTCCTCACATAGCGAGAGAGCGACCTAATTTGTTATTTTTTTGGTCCTCTACACCCAATTTGATTCATTCTCTTTGTATGATCTAGCCTGAGAACTTGAAACTGTTCTCACAAAATCCTTTTCTTCTAAACTTTCTTTTTTCGTTTTCCTTTTATTTATTTTTTTGTTGTTGAACATGTTAAAAAAATAATAATCCCAGAACTTAATGCATGTATTTAATGTAGTCTCAGAGCATCTCCAAGGGAGATGTCAAATACCAAACATCAAATTTAAATTTGATGGCTGATGTGGCAATTTGACATCTTACATAGCTTTACACTCCACCCAATATGTCAAAT